AAAAAAAAAAAAAAAAAACATACAGTGAACTTCAAGTAGACGGAGTAAAAAATTAACGCTTTTATACCAAATTTTTCAATTTTAGGCAGCCTAGTGCCTTTGTTATTTATACTAGTACTTAATGTAATACAAAACAAAACATAAAAACTGCCACTAACTACTACCTCTCCAGTTTTTGAATTGATCGTGAAAGGTGTATTGCTTTCGTTAATCAACATATACTGAACTAAGCCATTACTACCGCTATCAGAATCCAGTGCTTCGACTTTTACAACTGTCTTTTCCAGTGGCATATTTTCGTAAACGACTGAAAATGAGCAATACTATATTAACATTCAATAAATGCATTATCAAAATGACAATAAACATAACTATCAGTCACAGTCGCTTACCAACTGGTTCACCACGAACCCATTTCGCTGCAAACAAAGGACTGTGATCATTACTGTCCTTAACAGAAACCTCCACCGTACTGACAGTCTTTACGTTAAATTCTTTTAACTAAAATTGTACAGATGTTTGGATCATCTTTCAGTTACTTTTGAAAAAAATGAAACGGAAACAATAGCTTAGAAATCAAATAAGTGTGTCTACCTCAGCTTTAACACCAAATTTATAAAATGTTTTAGCTTCATAGTCGACCCAATCTTTCAAACGCAAATATCCATACATTTCATCCACCCAAAATGGTACACTTTCGTTGTTAGATGTAAAAGAATACCTAAAAAGAACCAAAGATGTTGACGTTCTTCTGTTGCTGACATATTTCATTCTAAGCAGCAGTAAATAATTTACCGAAGTTTTTGATAGTCAGACGGCAATCCGTTTTTGATTACAGCATTAATTCTGCCAATTAAAAAGCCTATCGGAGAAGATTCGTTGACGGAGAAACGTAAAACGGAACTCGGGAATTTTAGAGTACGCGCTTCATCAACATCTACATCAGCATCTACTGTTACACTCCTGCTTGGTTCGCCATCAACGCTTACAATTACAGATGCCTTCCAGTTTTTTGCAGGTATATGTCCTAAATTTTTTTTATAAGTTAAATTAAAAAAAATTAAAAGTTAAATGAATCAAAAACAACAAAAATTTTTTCTCATTTTCAGTCTTAAAATTACTCAATCTACGTGAGAAAGTAGAAAACACCGTAAACCTGGTACAGACTGAAGTTGCCATATGTCAGTTTCTTGACCCTTTATTAACCTAAAGTAGGGAGCAAATTTATCGTCAGCAAGGCGCAAATGCAAATCTTCATCTGCCTGAGATTCTGTCGTTATGATAGCAGCAGTTTGCGAACTGTTGTATAATGACGCAAATATTGTTCGTTTTTCAATCCTTACTTTCGGCAACGACGTTTCGGCTTTTAACACTGTTATCAACTGAAAAATTACACACTCTGTAATTGCTTGACTAAAAAACCCATAAATTGATCAATGAAAACTAAAAATTTTTATTTCAATCATAACAGCTGCTTTGCCGGTAATAACATACAGCTTTTGCTTGATTGAGACCGTTGCTGGAAGACCTATCCTGTCGATTTTCATTGCTGTAAAGTCGAGATGCACGATCTTCAGCCAAAAGACTCAGCTCATATGTCCCAGGCAACAACTGTTTCACATTTTTTATCCAGCCGGTAATTGGATCGATGGTAAATTCTGGGACATCATTCAAGATGGAATAATAGATTTGTCCATTATAATCAATATCAGCATCAGATGCTCGAACTTGTACTATGTTTGATAATCGTTTAATCTAGAATCAAAAAAAATTTTTCTTTTCCATAATACAATTTCAAACTAAATCACATCATTTATCACAGATTCTTCAAGTAGAATTTTTAGAAAGCAATTTCAAAATCTAACAGAGCAAAATGGCAATTTTAGACGGGCAGAATTGAAAAAAGAAGAGACTGTGTTTTAAAAAAAATTGATATACTTTTTCAAGCACTTGAACCGAATAGGTTTCTTTTTCAAATATTGGATTAGCGTCGTTTTGGTCGACAACAAGTAAATTAACAGTGGCAGTTGTTTCCAAGTTTGAAGCATCTTTACGTTTACATGTTGCTTTGATTAAAAATACATATTTATCCTACAAAAAAAAAAGTAATAATAATAAGATAAAAAAAAAGTCGGTGATCATGTTGTTTAAGTGCAGGATAGATGTGTTTTTTTTTTGCCGCAACAAACTTTTCCGAAATGTTCAGAAATCAAATTCATAAATAAAAATAAAACAACCAAAAATCAATGATTGGTATTGGTTACCTACCTTTAACTCCCTATTTAGAACACTTTCTTGCCGATACTTTAGTCTTAAGAAAACAAAATTGTCGACAACTCGTGCCTCAGCTTTAAACTGCGTTTTTTCGCCCTAAAATTTATGAGTTTTAATAACTGTTAAAATGCAAAAAAAGGAAAAATGTTGGAAACAGCAGACAGTGTTCAAATTAAAACTTGATTTATATCTTTATAGACTTCAAAACAACAATAAACAACTTGAATGAAAAATTTTCAATAAAAAAAAGTCATGATTAATTTTTGGCTGATTTTTACCTCAACAATCCGAAATTTAACATTGGAATATTTGTCCGGTAATGGAACACCGATTCTTAGCGATGTATTTGGTATTGCATAAACCTCTTTACCCCTGGCATTCTCTTCAATTGTTAAATTATACACCGGTGCAGTGAACTAAAATAGCAACATGAAAAGTAAAAGTGAAGAAGAAAAGAGTGAAAAAAAAAAACTGATAGCAAAAACAGATTAAGAAAAACGGTAAAATTGTACAGTTCAAAAAAAAAAAAAAAGCGGGCATAAGTTCAAAAAATTATAAATTTACACCGAAAAAAAAAGAAAAAATTAATTTAATATGCCAAAAGGAGAAAAAAAAGCCAGAAATTTTTTTTTCTCCTTTTCTTTTTTTTTGCTTTTCTGTTTTGCAACATAAAATCCATCTCCACATCTATTTATGTCTCTCAAATGGAAATAAATTTTAGGGTGCATGTAAAAGAAGAATAAAAAAAAAACAGAAGAATTAATACTAAAAACAATCCAATAGTCAAACAAAACTACCATATTACAATAGTTTTTAAAAACAATTGTTTCAAAATAACAGTAAAAAAAAACCAATGGAAT